TATTTGATGATTTTGATTTTAACAAAATATTACTTAGTAAATTATATTCTAATAAACTTAAAAGTCTTTAAACATCATTCAAATAAAAAGGAATAATAATAATAATAATAATAACAACATATTTTTCTTCGGAAACACCTTAATCTTTCTACCAAACTGTTAGGTGAATTTTTAAATCCTTTAATGTTCTAATATCTGAAATAAAAATTTAGAAAGCTTAGGTAATCCAAAATAGAGTTTTTTCAATCTTTTTATGTGTTGTGATAATAAAAAATTGTGTGTGGATGTGTGCATTTTAATATATTCGGTTAGTATTTACAATCTCTTATCAACACAAATATGAAACGATGTGCCATCAAAACTTAATAAAATGAAAAATTTCACTTGTAATAGCTTGGTGATTGATGTTGAGGAGACCATCTAGGCTTTTATAAAATAACATTATCATCAAGTTTTCTTAGAAAAGATTAAGCCGGATCAATTACTACCGTTAAAAAAAACCATGAACAATCACTAAAAGTTTACCTCCAATTGCATTGCATTGGAGGTAACATTTCTATCGAGAAAAATGTCGCTGAGAATTGGCAGATCTATTGACATACTTTTTAAGTCTTTTGAAAGTTTTATTTTAACTTTGAAAATCTTTCGTTTCATTGTAAAAGAATCACCTGCATTCCCATATACTCCAAGCCCATTTTCAAACAAGTAAAAACATAAATAAAATGCTGCATCTTTTTTAATGTTATATTCTAAACATTAAGAATTTGGAGGTTTTAATCATTGAGCATTAAAATGACGTTGTATTCCTTCAAAATTTCTTATTGAAAAATTAATTCAATAGGTTGACAAGTTTCCTTCTGTATATAATATCTCCTTATTCGGTCATGTATATTAGAAGAAAATTCTGAAATTTGTATTCTTTCAGCAGGATCGAATTTAAGATTCAAATTGATCTATACTTTGTAATTATCTAATGCTTTGAAAAGATAAACAAGTATGCCAATTTTGACAAAGACGATGTCAAACTTGAAAAAAGAGATATAGGAGCAGTGTCTAAACGAGTTTGAGGCTTAGAAAAAAATTGTCATCATATTGACTCTTTTTTAAAGTTCTAAAACTCACAAAACACAAATTATGTTAATGAGATGTTAGTCATGTGTTTGAAAATATTACCTTAGATATTGTTAACTATTTTGTAAAAACTTAATTTATTTATATGAACATTTGAATAATTTAATTTAAAGTTCTAAAATATTGTTAATAAAAGATAAATAATTAAAATATTGTTAATAAAAGATAAATAATTTTTGAACATAAATTTTTAATATTTTTATTATAATTTTCAATATTGTTCTAAATAAAATTAAAATTATTAAATGTATCATTCATATTTTGGCGCTTAAAACAAATATTTTATTAGTTTTAGTATCAACTTGAATTATTACTGCCTTAAAAAGTTAAATTTTTTAAAAACAAATAATAATTATTTTAATATAATATTATTAATATATGGGATATTCCTAGAATTAATGACTAAAAATCAACTTTTGAATAGATTATTATATAACATAAAAGCAAACAAATAAGAAAAAGATGAAAAGGGATAGGCGAGACTACATGGTACATACCGAAAGGCAGATGTCAAATGGTAGAACCCTAACTTTCGAAGATAAATTTTGGATATAAAGGCTTTTTGGATGTTAGAGTAAAAACCCATAGTAAAATGCTATTTTAGAGTATGACACACATATATATTTTTTTCCTGTAATTTATAAAAATCTATGTATCCAAAGAGTTCCAACATACCGCGGACTGAAGGCCCTCGCTGGACGTGCAGAGATCACTGGAACACCCAACTCTCTATGCTTGTGGGTTTGCAGGAAATATAATATATATATATATATATATATGGGTTCAGACGAATTCATTGACTTTTTTGTAGACCCCCTATATACATATTAAAATATCAAATATGCATGTGTGTATTATATATAATACACACATGCATATTTGATATTTTAATATGTATATAGGGGGTCTACAAAAAAGTCAATGAATTCGTCTGAACCCCTGTCCATTAGAGTAGCTTCGCCCCTGTATACATGATCTTATCTCTATCTTATTAAGTTAAGAGATTGTTTTCAAATTAATTGATATACGTATTATTTTAAAAAAAATTGACGATAGTTGAATGTAACTTGTGTGGATATTTCGACTATTCATTTATACAATTTTTTTTGCTCTATAAAAATTGAATAAATGAACAAACATTTACATCAAAGATGCAATATTACTATATCTTGATTAAAATTATATTTGAACAAAAAAAGACAATTTAGAGTTTAAATTCACTTCATGTTGAGTGTCGGTCCTTATCATTCTATAAATTACTAGATTGATTAAAATTAAGGCACATATAACTAAATTTCAATCATTTTGAATTTGTTCGTTTTATTAAAAATTCATGTTTATATGACTAAAATTCATCAATATTTGTTCGAATACATGTATATATATATATATATATATATATATATATATATATATATATATATATATATATATATGTTAGACCCCTATATATTATATGACTGAAGTTTGCAACCCAAAAATCTATTTTTACTTGAATTTCGATCACTTGATGGGCCTAAAACAAAAATTTAATTCATTGAGTAATTAAGCCTATCCCCCCAACAAGGCCCTTTTATGGTTACTCTGTCTCCATTGTAGGATTTTAGGGTCTATCACAATTACCGCATAAATCCTCTTTCTATTTGCAATGAATTACATACTATCTTTCTCTTTTGTTTATCAAACTTGTTATATTTTTGGATTTTCAAATTTAAGCGGTCAAAAATATCGAGAATTATAGTGGTAATTTTCATGTCGTTTTTAAGCAACAATAAATAAACATTCTTCTCATTTGGAGAATCACTAGCCATGAAAGAAAATTAAGAGAACTCTAAATCAAGTGAGTTTTACCTTAACTTTTAAAAACTAGAAGACAAAACTAATTGAAATTTATCTCAGAGACATGACTTTGATAATAATTAGATAGACGAAAACCTCAAATTGTTGTGATGATGTCTCAAATTTCAATTTAAAAAATTTAATGGTGAAATTCGTGGTGCAGAGAAGGAAGAAAGAAAGAATACGATGACGGAGATGCAAGTTGATGAGAGAGTTGATTAGCATGAAAGCTTGAATTGGTGATGTTGTAATTGTGCAGATAACTAATTTTAAGATATATGGGTATCTAATGATATATGATATAACTTATAGATCTAAGTCTTCTCGGGAGCATTTTTGATAAGACTCCACATTCTAATATTCTCTATCTAGATTTTTACCTCAAATCTCTCCACTCTCTCTGTTTCCACCATTGTGTCTTACGGTTCTTAATTTGATATTATGATTGATGCTATTCGTCTATATGGTTGATCACGTTACATGTGCTCCCAGATATATTACCTCTTCATTATTGAACGGAACGTCATTTGTGCATAGGTGGGAAGAGAGGTTTTTCATATCCAAATGGAGTATGCATCAGCTTGTTTATTTTTCAACTCCACTTGAATTGCTCTATGATCTATTCTCCATTTTCTCTCTTCCTTCCATCTTCTGTTTATCGGGCTCGGGCGGTTTTTCTGCCAGGTTTCAAATCTCCACCGCCGCTCTATGGATGGTTCCGAAAAGATTCTTCTTGAATCCATGGAACTTAATGAATCAATTGTCGGATCAAAGTTCTTTATTGTCCATTCATTCTCAATTCTAAATAACCAAAATACAGTTTATTTATGTATTCATTATTTAGGTATTCATCCTAATTGCATATGTAAAGCAAACCTTCTATTTTATTTTGCTTATTTTGTATTTACAATATCACTTTGTATACCAAATAGTTTATATTTAGATTTGATTTTGTATTCGGCCTAATGGTATACCATCAAGTTTTGTATTTATATTTGATTTCGTATTCATTCTCAATTCTAAATAACCAAAATACAGTTTATTTATGTTATATATGTATTCATCCTAATTGCATCAGTAAAACATATTTTGTACTTTATTTTGCTCATTTTATATTTTCAATATCACTTTGTATACCAGATAGTTTGTATTTAGATTTGATTTTGTATTCATTTTCAATTCTAAATAACCAAAATACAGTTTATTTACGTATTCATACTAATTGCATTAGTAAAATAATTTTTATATTTTATTTGGCTCATTTTGTATTTTCAATATCACTATAGTTTGTATTTTGATTTGAATTTGTATTCGTCCTAATGGTATACAATCATGTTTTGATTGTATGGTCTAACTTTTCAATTGAAAAATGAGTATTTATCGAATTATCGTGCTCGTTTTGTATTTCATTATCACTTTGTATTCCATTCTCAATTTGAAACGCCAAAAGAATTTGTATTACTTTATTATTGTGTAGTCATCATTGTAGGTCACTCCCAATTTATATTTCAATTACATTTTAAAATAATGACACACAAAATCATATTTAAACAAGTTCATCCGAATACATAATTCAGATAAAATCATATTTAAAGAAGTTCAAACAAGTAAGGATAAAAAACTAAGGGAAATATTTTTACCTTTTTAAAAATATTTCCTCCCATGATTCTCTTCATTCTGTTATTAAAAATTTGTATTCTTTCCGATTAAATAACAAATAAATACAGTCAGGATTATAACAAACCAAAATATTGATATTTTAAATAAATATTGAAAGTGTTGACAAGGAGTCCTATTAAAATATTGCTATTTTGAAAAATTTCCTTATTTTTTACTTGAATTTCGACCACTTGATGGGCATAAAGCAAAAGCCCAATTCATTGAGTCAATTTGGCCTACCACCAAACAAGCCCAACAAGGCCCTTTTATGGTTCACCCTTTCTCCATTGTTAGTCTTTCTCTAGACTGTAAATTCCGCCATTATCGTTAGGGTTTAAGAGCTCCAACACTCTTTCGTCTTCACCAAAACAATGACAACCTTAAACCCAGTTGGCTCTAGAACAAACCCATTTCAGAAACAGCTTCATCATCATCGTCCAATTTATGCTAAACCAATTTCTTGTCTCACCTTCAGAACCTCACCTCCACCATTTTACCCCTCCACCATTAAAGCCTATTCTTCTTCTTCACAAAATTCTAAAATCCCAAAACCCCTTATCCCTCAAACCCCTAATGAAAAACCCCATAACCCATTTTCATTCGTTAAGCCAACACTCATTGCTACAATTACTGCCACTACCCTTTTGTTCGCAAGATACTTTGTCTTCCCGAAACCTGCACTTTCTAACCAAGCTTTTACTCCGTCGGCTATGGAAACTGATGTGGTGAGAGATGCAATTTCAGAGGAGGAAAGGGAAAGAGCAATTGAAGAACACCTGGTTTCTCACCCGGATGATGTGGAAGCGTTAAGGATTTTGATGGAAATTCGGATAAAGAATAAGAAAATGCTGGATGCTATTAACATTATTGATAGGTTGATTGAGCTCGAACCGAATGAGACCGAATGGCCCTTGTTGAAATCTCATTTGTATGTGAACTCTGGGGAGATTGAATTGGCCAAAGTTGGGTTTAATGAGATACTAAAGAAAGACCCTTTTCGTGTCGAGGCTTATCATGGACTCGTTATGGCAGCTTCACAAGATGAATCGATTGAGGAATTGGCGGAAATCGAGAAGAAGGTTGAGGAGGGCATTAAATTGTGTAAGAAGGAGAAAAAAAAAAGTGACTTGAGGGATTTTAAGCTGTTGCTTGCACAAATTCGGGTGATAGAAGGGAAATATGAAGATGCATTGAAGGTTTATCAGGAGTTAATGAAAGAGGAGCCTAGGGATTTCAGGCCTTACTTGTGTCAAGGAATAATATACACATTATTGAGGAAAAACAAAGAGGCTGAGAAGTGTTTTGAGAAGTATCGGAGACTTGTACCGCAAGGGCATCCCTATGCTAGGTATTTCGATGAGAACATGATTGCAACAAAGGTTTTTGCACAGAGGGCGGAGAATGAGAGAGCTAGCTCAAAAAGCTGAATAGAATAAGGCTTCGGTTCTGCTGAAGTTCAGATTGGATGGTAGAGGTATGGTGGAAATTATTTTGCTCTATTTGTTACTAGTTACATAATGGTTTGAGCTTAGTAGATGTTCCAAATAAGTTTGTCTGGTTTGCATAGGTTTATTGTTATATGAGTTGTGGAGTAGCAATTAGGTTCAGAAAAAAGGATCTTTTTTTTGTTAGTCAGAGGGGAATGGTGCTAAGGCTCTTTAATAATTTTCAGCAGGTATCTGAATCGAACGACATGTGATCATAGTTCATTTAATCAAGAATGGAAGTGAGAACCATGCTTTGTGATTTTTTCTTTAATTCTTTTGAAACTTCCACGATATGTGTTTGATATGAGCTGTCCTTTTACAAAATGAATGCACTTGATATGTGTTGTGATGTTGAGATGGAAGAGACAGACTTACACAGCCAACTTTGCTGCATAGAGTATTATAGATGTAAAGAGCTGTTTGAGGAATGACTCTGCTTCATTGTCAACGTTCCGGTTTCCTCCATCAACCATTGAATGCTTGATTGGTTCTAATCGTGATTGCATCTTTTAATCTTATTATGGCTTTAGTAGACAGTTTTTATACTTCACCCCTGTTCTTCTTTTGCAACTTTAACCAGTTTTGAAGCAAGTCTAATCATTAGTGCATTAGGATATTTTATAGCGCTTGAGTTGTCTGATAAAAGCTGTACCATACAACCACATTTGATCCTAGCTTTCAGAAGTGAATTTACTATCTTTGTAGTTAGAGATAACCATGACTCATGACCGCTAGATCAGGTTTGGGATCCTAATCATTGGATAGAGTTGAAAGAGAACAAAGGTAGCGAGCACAATTTGAGATGGGTCAAGGAATACTTGTCATTGCAGCCATTTCCTGTAGTATGAGTTGTTGTTAATTCTTTATCAGTTATTATGTTCATGACTAGAAGTGGTTTTGTGTGGATAACCAGCAACCCGAAATATGTGTTGCTCCATAAATATCTTGGAGGATTATCTTCCGACAACAATTTAGTAATCTGTCCATAAAGATTGGCAGATGGCAGTTAACCTGTGTAGATGAAGCATACAACTGATATTGTTGGTCCCGCTTTATTTGCCAATACTCGGTGCTCAACATTTGTGTACTTGTCATTTGATATAAGCTGAAAAAAGCAACAAAAATAACCATAAATGATATCAGTGCCAAACTAGCTAGGTGGTATATTAAACTCTTATTGATTGTAGTTGTTTAGAAAAGTAAAAGAATACTAGCCTGCAGGTGTAGGAGGAACATTAACCCATTGATTCTGGTGAAGCACTTGAAGTCCTCCTATAGGATCTTGTAGAAGCACTGTGATAAAATCATTGTCAGAATGTTTGTTGGTGCCTATCTCGAGTTCTGGCTGGGGAATGCTGGATAGTAATGTCCCAAAATACCTAGCCCCTCCGCGCAATCCATATCCTTGAGATGGCAACGATTGAGACCAAGACCTTCTGACAATAATTCAAGTAAGGAGCAGCTTAGTTTCATCAGATCCTTAGAGTACTCCATTAGTATTTCCTGCAGTAATTTCAAATAAAATTTGATGTAATGCCGCATGTTGATATTTGAAAAAAATTAAGTATACTCAATTGGCTCAAAGGGACCATACTTCTAGTTGAATTACTTAGTTCTCCAACAATATCCACCAAAACTCACATTAATCATAAATCAGTTGCAAGAAAGCACTTAACCATAACAACATAAATCATGGTTTGCTGTTGATTTTTGTCATAAATGAAGCTGGTTGGTTTTCTAATACATGTTCAGAAACCTCGAAACATTTTGATCCCAATCTTCAGGCAAGTGAGGCTTGCTCAAGTGGTTGAGCGTCTCCACCATCAACTGGTAGGTTGAGGGTCCGAGTCACACTCGAAGGTAAGTGGGAACACTAACTATTGATCCTCTTGGGGGTGGGGAGGGGGAAAAAGTTCATGTTCAGAACATCTACCCGCATGCTGTTGGCAATTCTTTTGGACTGGGAGGATCAGGAGCCATTAAACAGAAAAGTGTGTCTCCCCAATTTGCAGCTGGAACAGAAGGGCTATACAAATCAAAATTGCTAGTATCAATCACCCTTTTCGTAGTATCTCGAGTGTAGTACTGTTTCTTAGCCTCAACATCTTGTTCAAAAAACTCTCGTGTTCCTTGCAGCATTTCTTCCCAGACGGATGTTGGAATCCCATTTTTAACCACTTGGAAGAAACCCCACGTCTCTGATGCATCTCGAACTTCGTCCACAATCTCTTTGTGTTTGATTGGGTCCTCGTCGATGCCTTCAAGGTCTATCAATGGGAAAATGAACTGTGTTTCCACGTGTATCCGAGGACTCCAGCCTTTTTTTCTGTGGTAGAATGAATATTTGAGGTACCTTATCGATTCCAGCATCATCAAAGGTTTTTAATTCACTCATTTTGTCATAACTTTTCTTAACTGTGACCTGAAAATCATTAGTGCTAGAGACCACCATCTTCTTTTTAGGATGTTATGAACTAAGGTCACTTAGTATGAGTTGTCATTGCAGTCATTTCCTGTAGTATGAGTTGGATATCATGTTAGCCACCAGAAACATGTATTGCTCATTAGTTCTTATTTTGTAGTACTATTTTTTTTACTTGTTTTATATTGGTGATTCCTTTGGCACAAACGTTGCTGTTAGTTGAGTCTTGACTCAAAGTTGGGTTATCCTAGTAGCACATTCCTTTGCCATTTTGGGATGCTTGTTTAAGTCCATAAAGGGACTGATTCTTACCGGTAAGCCAGATGCTTCGCGAACCCTATTCAACTTTAAGGCATTTCGTTGCACTTTAATCACCCTCGTGAAGTGGCGCACTCCGATACCATTGATGCCCAATAGCTTTTATAGTAATGGCTGGATCTGAGTTCTCCCCTGTGGAGAATATCCATGAAGGAGAGACATGTATACTTCCTTTTGGAACACGGTAAGGCTTTACGCTCCAACTCACCTTCGCAACTCTAGGTGTCATCGCACTCAAGTTACCATTATTTTTCCACTGCGCCATTGGAGAAGCTAAATTTGCTCTAATCTAAGTGTGTGTCCGCTCTTGTTTGGGTTCACTCAGCAGAAAGCTAACTCTCTTCTCAATTTGACATTGACTGCAAATCTTGTTTTCCTTGTTATAGCCTAGCCTTCTGTTTATCAGTTTAGGTTCTCCACAGGTTCTTCATCTTCTGTTCATCTAGCTAGGTGATGCTTGATGGGGGAGTGCCTTGATGATATTTCCCTTTTGCGCTCTTTTTGCTTGTGCGCACCTCGACTAATTAATCAAGTATCCACTGCCTCTCACCAGCACAAGTGCCAGATAACTTCCTTTTTATTGTCATGTATTCACTTCATATCGAATGATCTCGTCAATCATGATTTTTTTGCTAAAATGATTTATTGAGAGATCGAAAAAGATACGAAAACTCTATTATCTATATTTGAATTTCAAAATCAAGATTTAGAATTTGTTTTCTTTAAACTGGTGATATATCTCACCTAAGGGTGTGGCTTAGTGGTCAATGAAGTGGGTTGGGAATCACAAGGTCTCAGGTTCAAATTGAGGCAAAACATTAGGTGACTCTTTTTTCCATTTGCCCTAGTATCTGTTGTTGCTGTGATGTAAAGTTGATGGAGAGAGGTAACGAAGTATCCTATGGAATTAGTTTAGGTGTGTTATTTGGTTAGTGTAAAATCCCGTTTGTTTGAATTAGGCCTTGATATAAACAGCAAGTTTTGTCATATATATAGAGAAGTCATTAGTTCTCTTTCATAATTTTATTTCTTTAATATATGAGAAATTTATAATTTAATAAAGAAAAATCTATTTTTAGGTTCAATTTAAAGTGGATGTATCAAATTTTGGTAAAGAAAAAGTGAAAGTAGAGAAGAAAGACGGTATTGAAGTGGAAAAAGGAGACAAGTTAGAAAGGGCTGAGAGTGAATTTTCTCCCCTACATACCTTTTTGCAAGTTAACTGAAATTTTATATTTTGAACTTAATACTTAATAGGAACCCAAAGCGATGTAAGACAGTTCGGTTCATATCTAATGTGGGTATTACAACATTAAAAGAACATTTTCTTAGTACAAGAAGACCACGAAGGATGCACCTCTACATGCTAGTTATCGTGCAAAGTAGGAGTATGGAATTGCAGAGAACAGTTAAAAAGTGAGGCCATTTCAAAAATGAGTGTTCTCCTATTCCGACTTCCTCAGAGCCATTGTGTTCGATAACACACTTAAGACAACGACAAGTTCTCTGCCCTTCTAGGTCCGACATAAGTTCTTTCCGAAAATTCAAGAAAAGGTCCTGACGAGACAAGTTCATTCATCATTAGGAAAACATTTTTCTTGATCTGGGTGCTTATTAGAAACAACCTTTCTACATCAATACATAAATATGACTCTTAATTTGGCTTCAGCAGACAACTATGCCTTTCAACTTTGAGTGTGCACAAGTAGACACTTAAATTTGTATAAAATTGAACAAGTATCCTACATGACATAATACACGTAGGATGCCATGTAGGATGAATGTGTCCATTTGTTCAATTTATACAAGTTTAAATGTCTACTTGTGCACACTCAAAGTTAAATGTAATAATTGGCGGCTGATGCTAAGTTAAGGATTATGTTTATGTAATATGCCTAAAGTCTGTACGCTCTTATGGGATCACATTAAGTAATGTTATTATATGGATATCAAGTGAAAGTGCAGTAATATAAAGTAAAAAAAAAAAAACAATATTCTTGAATAATGAAAACTCTTCACCAGATTCCTCTTTCCTTTGTTAGTAACTGTTTCTTCTTTTTCAGCTCAGATTGCTGGCAGAAAATTATGAAACAATGATGATATTATTTCATGTCACTATGACAATACTTTTTTCACCTAGCAAAAGTTACACTGACAAAATTTGAAAAAAAAAAACAGAGTTTAAATTAGCTAAAAATCATATATAGAAACTTATCTTGATTGTACATGAAAGGCAATATTTACTATTTGAATGTAGGGTCAGTCAATTGTACATCTACCTTTTTTACATAAAATTATTTGGTTAAGAGCAAATATTTTATTTGAGAATTTGCTTCAATGTTTGGTATTTTAAATCATTCATAAATTAATTGCGTGCTTCTCATTTTTCACTTCGAGTCTCATGGACCACCTAGTTTTTTCTCCTAGCTCTTTATTGCTTTTAAAAATGCTCGTCGTTATATATATTTCGTCTTGACAAAGTGGTGCTCTGACCAATTGAACTACAATCCCAAGAAAATGCAGGATCTAGCAGAAAATTTGATCTTTTTTTTTTTTTTATCTCCGAGTTGGATATTTCTGAAGTACAAAGAGGGTTATATCATCTCATGGTGGATTGGTGAATAATTGGGCCGAGCTGGATTTGAACCAGCGTAGACATATTGCCAACAAATTTACAATCCGTCCCTATTAACTGCTTAGATATCGACTCAGGAAGAATCAATTTTTGACTTATTGGTAATCTAATTGTGACTTATTGGTAATTTAATTTCCGACTTATTTTCATAGTACCCTACCCTTAGGGGAATTCGAATCTTGTTACCTCCTTGAAAGAGAGATGTCCTAAATCACTAGACGATGGGGGCTTGTTTGGCCAATGGTCATCATACTATTTAAAATTGTCAATATAATCAAATGATTCTATCCAAGGGATCCCCCCCCTCAAAATTGCATAGAATAGTTTTTTATTTGTTATTGACAAATTATTAACGCCCTCCTAATAAATTTGGTGTCATTTAAAGTACGACTTGTCATATATATTGGGTTATTTGATATTTTTTCGTTCTCTCCTTTGATTAAGATATTTCTGCCTCATTCAAAAAATATGTATATTAAATCACTAAGAAGTTGGAATGTGTAGTTCAGTTAATCATTTTTGAAAGTGATTTGTATTACTATTATCAATTAGAATAATTCATGATCGACTTGATTAGACTAAAAATTATATTCCTCCGAAATACATTGTGCTTCATAAGTGTAGTGCTTGTACTTTGCGAAAAAAATATTTGTTGATTTGATAGATTGCACTCTTTTCCCTTTTCAAAATATTGCTCCTCTTCATACTTGAATTAAATTACACATATTTAGTTATGATTAAAAAAGGGTGAACCCATCGGCAGCCTCTTAAACTTGGCACTAACTTTCACTTAGACACCTCAAGTAAGCTTTGTTTATTTTGAACACTTTAAGTAGGAGTTCGTTGTGTCATTTTGACACTTTTCGCTGACATGACATAATGAGTGTATAACACTCACTACCAGCGCGTCAGAGCTTTAATTAGCCTTTTTTTTTTTCTTTTTTGTCTTGTCCTATTTTCAACTACCATTTTCATAAATTTAAACTCCTTCCATGGTGAAAAGTGTTGACAGACATTTTAGAGTTAAATATATATCTCACTGATTTAAATTTAATAGTCAAATTAGTTTATTATTTGTTTTTAAATCAAGACTCGTTTAAATTATGTGGTTCAAAATCATGATTGAAATTAATACAAACAATTTTGTTGCTTGATAGTTTAACCCTCAGATTCCTGTTAGATCTAATTCTCTCAAAAATTCCTTTTTATCTCTTTCTTAGATTCCATTATGTATTTTATGCTCTAATTAGTCTCTAACTCTCCATGGGAAACGGCACCTGCACTTAAGTTTCCAATGATGATATTGAAGATAAATTTCTTCATTTTGTTTGGTCCTAATTTCCTCAATTTTCTGTTTTTACTCCACTACAGATATAGAATAGGAATTATTTTTCACTCAAATCATTCAAATTCGATCGAATACTTATTTTATAGGGAAGAGGATTTAATATATTTTGAAACTTTAAAGAATAGAGAAAGCTCGGATATGGCGGAGAAGACGAATGGGGTAGGGGTGGATTTGATTTTCGTGGAGAAGACGACTGGTGTTGGCGGGCGGGGGGGGATAGGGGTCAGGGGTGGTTTGGTATTCTGCAAAACACTTCTTTTTAGAAGTTATTAAGTTTTCCTTTTGTAATTATTTGGGAAAAATGCCACGTGTCATCAATTCACTTGTTATCTTTTTGGTTAGACCAAAATTCATTGTTTAAGAATTATTTTGGGGGAAAATGACAAATGTCCTTATTTTATTGGACACTTTACAGGTCACTCGCGAGTGTAACGCACGCACATTATATATTTTTGCTTATTGAAAAAAAAGTGTCAAAATGACATATCAAAACCCTATATGAGGTGCTAAAGTGAACATCCTTCAATTGAGGTGTCTAAGTGAAAAATTGTGCCAAGTTTAGGGGTCAGCGATGGATTTGGCCATTAAAAAAAGAAGAAGATAGAAGTGGTTAGAATAAAATAATCAAAAGTGGATCAAGGACAAAATATCACTTCTTCCATTTCATGATTGAATTGAAAATAGTGAAATGTTAGACTTTTACTTCTTTTTCTTCCAATAATTATACAACAATTTTAATAAACTATTATTGGCTTTTTATAAACCAGGGAGCTTATAACCTTTGCCCTTCGGATGAACACTTTGTCGTAACTTGTTAACTGTGTGATAACTCACAAACTCCACCGGAGATTTAAACCACACTAGACAAGTTTCATGCGATGAGCTCATGACTGAGTATCAGAAGGAGGCTGCATTCGATTCCAGGTCTCCCACATAGGAGACCCACCTCCCAACCACTCGATCAACCATGCTCTTGCGGGAACTGTTATTATTATTATTATTATTATAATATAGTATTTACACATCTACATAAACAATATATCGACATGGTATAAAAGTGTATAATAATGAATTTATCTGACATAAAATTGCAATGTTTGTTTAAAATTTGTCCCAAATCTCCACCAAACGGCTTCACATTCCGTAGACAACTTCCTTAGAATATCCAACACTTCTACACAACAAACACTATATATATGATTTTTCTTCAAAAGGGATTTAGAGTTCTGAACCTTCTTGTCTCGACCTGGCTCTGTCCTTCACTTCATCAAGTTTGTACATC